TATTTTCCAAAGTTAGGAGTCTAGTAGGAGTGTCCAAGTTTCGGGAAATCAGAGACCGACCTTGTGGAATTTCCAGGGGCCTTGTCTCCTGGCTGAGGCTTCCCAGGTGGCTCAGTGGTAAAGAATCTGCCCGTCAAAGGGGAAGTCAGGACAGTCAGGGAAGGCTCCTTGGAGGCAGTGATTGTCTATTTTGAGAACTGCCAGTTTAGGAGACCCTTGACAGCAGGAGTTGCATCTGTCTTAATGACTGCTATGTCCCCAGCATGGTTCCTGGGACATTGTAGGCACCCAAGATGTACACATTGAACCACTGAATGAATAGGAGTTGGTTAAGGTAAGGGGCTTCCCTGAGAGCTCAACTGGTAAAGAATCGCCTGCAATGCAGGAGACCCCGCTTCAATTCCTGGGTTGGGAAGATCCCCTGGAGGAGGGATAAGTTATCCACTCCCAGTATTCTTGGGCTTCCCTGGTGGTTCAGATGGTAAAGAATCTGCCTGCATTTCGGGAGACCTGGGTTCGATCCCTAGGTTGGGAAGATCCCCTGGAGGAGGGCATGGCAACCCACTCCAGTATTTTTACCTGGAGAATTCCCATGGACAGAGGAGCCTGGCGGGCTACAGTTCATGGGGTCACAAAGAGTCAGAAACATTTTGAGCAATTAAGCAGAGCACAGCTAAAGTAAGAGGAGATGGTTGTGGTGGACAGAGTAACAGCCTTCCAAGACGTCCACATCCTAATTCCCTATAACTTGTGACTGTGTCTCCTTGCATGGCAGAAGGGGTTTTGCAGATGGGATTAAGATTTGGGGTCTGCAGAAGGCGGGGGGAGGCATTATCCCAGATTTTCTGGGGTAAGGGCAATGTAATTGTTTGAGCCCTCCAAAGCAGAGAGCGTTCCCAACTCGGTTCAGAGAGAGACGTTACTGTGGAAGAATGCCCAGAGAGATACAGTGCTGCCGGCCTTGACGATGGAAGAAGAAGGCCATGAGCCAAGGAATGAAACAGTCTCCAGAAGCTCAAAGAAGCAGGAAAACTCCGTCTCTCCTCGAGCCTCCAGGATGAAACGGCTGCATTTTAGCCCAGGGAGACCCTAACCTGCAGAACTGGAAACACGTCTAACCTCTAGAGCCAAAATAATAAATCTGTATTGCCGGGAGCCAGTAAGTGTGGTAATTCATTACAGCATCAAACAGAAACTAATACGGTGGAAGAGAGTTCCAGGCAGGGGGAACAGCCTCTGCAAAGTCCAGAGGAACAGGCAGAGCCAGCAGGGGACCTGAGGAGGGCGTGTCTGCCGCTTCTCCTTTCCCTTACTGGTCCAGACAGATCACCAATGAAATGGACGGGCACCTCCCCGCACAGACAGGCGTCTGAAGGCTCCCCTCAGTATACCCACCCCGGGGTGCTCTGGAAAGCCAGCCAGGGCGGATGTGCTGGTAGTCTGTGCTGGGAGAACGCCTCCCCAGCCCTGGACTGCCTTCTTTCCAGGGATTTTGTGAGGAGAAAGTGAAGTAGGGCCCTTCAGAAAAAGAAGGGAAGTTTGAGCAATGTTTGTGTGAAGCCCCAGGGTTCTATTCTTGTTTTGCTCTCAATGTCCTAATATGAATTTTTTTTCCCCAAATGTGATCCTGCGTCTGTTTGTCTTGAGCCTGGTGAGGTCTGTGGGGCCCAGGGCAATCTGCCTGATGCATAGAGGAGGACAAAGATTCCCAGAGAGGAGCATTGACCTGACCAAGGGTGCCCAGCAGGTTGAGCAGAGCTCAGTTGGGACCTATGTCTTCTGATGCTCTTTTCCTGTTCCCTCACGTCACCTCTTGTCTGAAAGAGCAGTGTCATACAGGTGTGTGTGTGTGTGTGTGTGTGTGTATTAAAATACCACATGAAATAGTCATTTAAACCATTTTAAAGTGAATGATTCATTGGCATTTACAAGTCCATTTATAAGTCTGTGCCACCGTCACCTCCAACTAGTTCCAGAACATTTTTACATCAAAGGGAAACTCTATACCCACTAACAGTCACTCCCAATTCCCCTTCTTTCAGCTCCTGGCAACCACTAATCCACTTTCTGTTTCTATAGATTTACCTCTTCTGGAAATTTCATATACATGGGATCATTCGAAATGGGATCAGTCTTTGTGACTGCCTTCTTTCCAAAATGTGATGATTTCCAGTTCATCCTTGGTGTAGCGTGTGCTGGTACTCCGTCCCTTTCCATGGCTGAATAATGTTCTTGGATGGCTAGACCACATTTTGTTTATCCATTCATCTGTTGATGGACGTTGGGTTGTTTCCGCTTCTTGGCTATTGTGAATAATGCTGGTGGTGGTGGTGGTGGTTTAGTCACTAAGTCGTGTCTGACTCGCGACCCCCTGGACTGTAGCCTGCCAGGCTCCTCCGTCCATGGGATTCTCCAGGCAAGAATGCTGGAGTGGGTTGCCATTTCCTTCTCCAGGGGAATAATGCTGCTATGAAGCTTCATAACCTGAGAGAGAGGATCCCAGCCAATTTTGTTTGTTTTTGTTCCTTTCGGCATCTCTGCACAGCACGTGGGATCTTAGTTCCCTGACCAGAGATCGAACCCATACACCCTGAAGTTGAAGTGTGGAGTGTTAACCACTGGACCTCCAGGGAAGTCCCCTGGCCAGTTTTGAGAGAATGAGGGGGCCTCCATGTGCTGTCCCCTGAATCCTCCTGGCGAGTGTGTGTGTATGTGTGTGTGCACGCGTGCATGTATGTGCATGTATACACATGCCCGTGTGCCTGTGCCTGTGTTTGAGAAGTGCTTGGTGCACACACTTCCTCTGCAGGCCTGTCCCCTGGCCCTTTCTCCTGTGAATAGTTTTCTATCAAACGTCCATCACATTCCTCCCCGCCCCCCGCCCCAACTCTCAGCTTCTGCGGGACTCCAACTGATCCAGGCCCAGAGTAAAAGCTCTCAGTACATACACGTGGAGACTCCTCTCAGATGTTTGCAATGCAAAGGGCCTGATCTGATGAGGAAAGTCAGACTCGAGGGCCAGACTGGGCACAGGGTCTGAGTCCTGGTTTGACTTTGCACTAAAAAGATTAACAACTGCCAACGTGTCCAGCACAGAGTGGGGAGTTGAAGGCAACTTGTAATCAGACTACCCTCTTTCCTGGACATGTAACCAGGGCATGGTGGACACTGCAGAGGCCCAGGCAGAGCAGTGTTGGGGTCTGCCACGGTCCCTGCCCAACTGTGCAACTGGCTGGGCCACCTCACCCCTGAGTCTCGGCTCCCTGCTCTATGATGGGAACCAAAGAGTGGTTTTGACAATTAAAGTAAAATGAACAAGTTGCTGCCACTTGCTTGGTGTCATGTTCTTTAAATGTGCCATCTTCTCGAGATTTCACCATAATGTGTGACGGTAAGAGAAGCAGGCACAGAGATAGCAAATACACTTTTAAAAAATTGCAGTGAAGCCGAGGCTTCTCTGGTGGCTCAGTGGTGAAGAGTCTGCCTGCCAATGCAGGAGACACGAGTTCAGTCCCTGATCCAGGAAGATCCCACGTGCCGTGGAGGAACTGAGCCCCTGCACCCCAACTACTGAGCCTGTGCGTTGGAGCCCGGAGCCGCAGCATCTGGGGCCCGCACCCCGGGGCCCGTGCTGCAGAGCGGGAGCCCCCTCGGGGAGAAGCCTGAGCACCGCGACTAGACAGTAGCCCCTGCTCGCTGCAGCTACAGAAAAGCCCGCGCAGCAACGAAGACCCAGCACAACCAAAAGTTAAAATAAATAAGTGCGATTGCAAAAAACTGTGGTGAAATTCACATGGCATAAAATTCACCATTTTAACCCTTTCAAAGGGAATGATTCGGTGGCATTTAGGAGTACATTAGCAGCAGTGTACGAACACCACCTCTGTTTATTTCCAAAATGTCTTCATCACCCCAAAAGGGAACCCCACCCACATGAGCTGTCACTCTTCTTCCCCTGCACCTCCTCTGAGCACCAGCCCATCATCAGTCTGATTTCTGTTCCTGTGGGTTTGCCTGTTCTGAACATTTCATATCGATGGAATCATACAACCTTTTGTGTCTGGCTTTTTTGCTTAGCATAATGTTTTTAATGTTCATCCATATCATAACTTGTATTAGTATTTTGCTCATTTTTTATTTTCTAGTTTATATATTATTCCTTTATATGAATGAACCACTTTTCGCTTATCCATTCTTCTGTTGATGGGCATTGGGTTGTTTCTACCTTTTGGCTATTATGAATAACCTAGATATGAGCATTTATGTTCAAGTTTTCTTGGAACGCTTGTTTTCAGTTCTCTTGGGTGTCTACCTAAGCGTGGAATTGCTGGGTCATAAGCTGTTTCTAGGGTTTCCCTGGTGGCTCAGTGGTAAAGAATCTGCCAGCAATGCACGAGACTCAGGTTTGAACCCTGGGTCGGGAAATCCCCTGGAAGAGGGAATGGCAACCCACTCCAGTATCCCTGCCTGGAGAATCCCATGGACAGAGGAGGCTGGTGGGTAACAGTCCATAGGGTCACAAAGAGTCGGACACAACTGAAGTGATTGAGCATGCATGCACGCATGCAAGGTGTTTCTAAGTTCAACTGTGGAGGAACTGAATTCATCTTTAAAACTTTTTGTTTTATATTGGAGTATAGCTGATTAACAATGTTGTGATAGTTCCAGGTAGACAGCTAAGGGACTCAGCCATGCATATACATGTATCCAGTCTCCCCCAGACTCCCCTTCCATCCAGGTTGCCACATAACATTGAGCAGTTTCCTGTGCTGTTTATTATTGGGACCTTGTTGGTTATCCATTTTAAATATAACAGAGCATACAGATTAAGCCCAGACTCCCCATCTAACTCTTCCCCACGCTGAACTCACTTTTGACTTGCTTTTGGCCACACAGCTTGTGAAAATCTCTGTAGAACTGGTGTTTCTGATCCAAGGTCAAGTACTTTGCCCATCTGCTCTCTTGAGGCTGAGGGGTACGGAAGCGTCTGCATGCTTTAGGCCACTACACAGCCCTGAAGAACTGTCACCGTCCCTTATTAAAGACACAAGGGTAGCTGTGGTCTGGAACCGCTGGAGTTACTTGAGAGGAGGTTTGCAGGAGAGGTTTGAGGAAGGCGCTCCAATTGGTGAACTTGAACCAGGTAGGTGTGCATGGGGCCATGTGGCCGTCAGCTGTCCTTCTGGGCCAAGACTTCCCTAAACCTCAGTTTTCCCATCCATAAAATGGTAGCACTAGTCCAAATCCAAGTGCTTAGGATCGGAATTAACATACATAGGTGGGCTGGCACCTGTCCAGGACTCTGTAAATCACAACTGGCTTTGTCATTACGACGCCTGTTAGGATTATTTCGCTGTTGAGATGTCCCAGCTCAGGTCCAAGGGCCAAGTCTGCCCTGAGCTAATCTTGTTCCTGATAAGAAAGCACCAGGGCAGCTTCCATTAAACAATCACCCCCCAAATTTGAAACATGTTCCTTAAACAGTTTTTGAACTGTTTTGCAGTGTGAGTTCCCCAGCACTGCTAATATCTTGAGGGATTTAAAAAATATATTCGCAACAAAGAGGCCTTTGTCTGCTGGGCTGGGCAGCCTGGCGGGGATATTACTCGAAACCTGATCGGCAGACGCTGGCCGCAAACCTGCTGCATTGCGCCCCGGGCCTCAGCAGCGGTGACGGCGGCTGGATTAAATTGGCCTTTTGTCGGGTAGGAAGGGCAACCAGCCACGTGACACGGCACGGCCTTAACCCTGCAGGGGCTGACAACCCTCTTTGGCGTGTTCCGGCCTTGGCAACCAGCAGCAGTCGGGGAAGGGGACACTAGCTTCATCTCTGCTTTCCAGACGAGGGGCTGGCGGAAGACTTGGTCAAGGTCACCCAACGTGTGAATGGCACAGCTGGAGTTTCTATTTGGTTCTGAACACAAAGCCCTGAGTGCCTCTGTGGAACCAGGCCCCAGGTTTCAGGTCCAGTCATTTGCAATTGGATGTTGAGTACCTTACATGTAGCCTCAGTTCCAGACACTAGGGATCCAGTAATGAACAAGACAAAGACAAAGGTTCAACCATCCATCCGTTCATTCATTTATTCATTCAGCTAATATTTATTGAGCTCCTACTATGGGTCAGGACCTGGAGAACCGAAAAAGGAACTCTCCTGTAGGTAATCCATTTTATCATTCACATACCTCATCCCATGCTGTGTTGCAAAGAGCTCAAAGGAGCAGACGTGTTTCCAGCTTGTTCCCTGTTGCTTTTCTAGATCCTATCACCATGCCTGGCACATAGTAGGTCATGTAAATGTATGTTCATAGCAGCACCCTTCACAATAACCAAAAGGTAGAAACAACTCAGGTGTCCATCAGTGGAGAAATGGATATACAAAAGTGGTCTATCTGGGCAGGGGAATATTATTCAGCCACGAATAGGAAACAAGTCCTGACCTAGGCTACAACATGGATGAACCTCAACAACATCATATGAAGTGGAAAAAGCCTGGCACAAAGGTCAGACATTGAATGATTCCATTTATAAGAAATGTCCACAATAAGCAAATTCAGAAAGACAGAATATAGACTAGTGGTTGCCAGAGGCTGGGGGGAGAAGGAATGAGGACTAATATGATACAGGATTTCCTTTCGAGGTGATGGAAACATTTGGAACTAGACAGAAGTGGTGGCTGTACCATTGTGAACATGCTAATTGCTACTGAGTTGTTTTCTTTAAAATGGTTAATTTCATGTTACAGGAATTTCACCCCCATTTTTAAAAAAAGTGACCCTCACAGTGACTCTGGAAGGACAGGATTTCTGCAGTTCCATTTCACAGATCAGAAAGGAGAGGCCCTGGGGAGATACTGGCCTTGCTGGGTGTACGGCGGCTGCCCTGTGGTTTTCTGGTGGCCCAGCCCTGTTTTCCACATGCCTCCTGCAGTGGCCTTGGAAAGGGATTTGCACTGTGTCCCTCCCTGCCCCCGCCCTGGGCTTGTGTCAAGCCCGCTATGGAGGTTCCCTCAAAGGTCCAAGGTCAGATGAGTGACCCAGGGGTTCTGTTAGGAAACTGTCTTAGCAATGAGGACCCTTGCAGGGAGAGCCTGTTGACCAAGTTGAAAGGCCTGTTGTTACTGAAACATATCAATATTTCCACGGGGCAGGTGAATCAGGCTCATCGACTGCCTTCACACATGTCTCAAGCTGCCAGGAGACACCCCAACATCTGCACCTGGGGAGTTCACATTTCTCTGGACATTCAGGGTGCAGGGAGCACACGTCTGCCGCGACGTGTGCAGGGGAGAGCAGCCCCTTCTGACTGCTCTCACTCCGGCTTCTCCACCTTAACGCAGGACTAACCTCCGCGCTTCTGGTCGCCTCCGGGTCCCAGTTAGAGTCTGCAGGATCGCAAGTACTTCTTGAGTGGTTGTCTTGGGTTGGAGGAATTGTGCTGATATTTCTCCTGGGGGTTGTGGGATGGGGGTTCTGATTTTCTGGAACTAAAGAATTTCACCATCAGGGCTCAAGAGATCCGGTCTCAGCCCAGGTGGGGAGTGGTTTCTGAGATGCTGACAATTCCCCAGGTATCCTGCATCTTCCTTACTGGGTCATGTCCTGGCCAGAACATGAGAAAGATCCAGAAAGGTGGGCGGGTCTCGTTCTTTTATCCCGTGGCGTGTGCTATAGAAATAGTACTGTCACCACTCAAACCCAGCCCTCATCCTCTCAAGGCCAAAGTACTACACACAATTTTTTTAAAAACTTTTAATATTTGTCATATTTTCTGTGACTGTAAAGCTCTAAGGGTTACAGTATTTTTTCTGTCTCGAGTTATCACTGTATAGTTATTTCAGTAATTATCAGCATAGTTGTTGTTGCTGTTCAGTCGCTAAATCATATCCAACTCTTTCTGACCCCATAGACTGTAGCCCTCCATACTCCTCTGTCCATGGGATTCTTTAGGCGAGAATACTGGAGTGGGTTGCCATTACCTTTTCTAGGGGGTCTTCCTGACCCAGGGTTCTCTTGCATTGCAGGTGGATTCTTAACCACTTAGCCACCTGGGAAGCCCAATTATTGGCATACAGTTGATAAAAATAACAGAAAAGGATCATATATATTATAGTAAATATTATACAACATTTCCATAATATATAAGTTTTAAGTATAAAATAGCTATATTATGAAATAATTATTAACTATATATTTGGGGAAGTGTATCCCATAATGAGATGAATCAAGATCAAACCTTTCCTCTACCTTGAGTGAACAGTAAGTGTAAAGGATGCTCATACTTAACCAGTCTGCAATTAGCTATTAGAAATTTTTTTTTGTTAATTGGAATCAAACCTATTAAATGTTCTGTGAGATGAAATGCAGATTGACTGTAACTGGAATGAAATGCTTTGTGATATGACTTGACAAAAGGTATTTTAACACCTAATTGAATAACATATGTTGAATCTGGACAAAATTGCATACAATTTTTATCCATGGGTTTTATCCAGTGTATCTTGGAAAAAAAGCTGGTGTTGCTGGAAGACATTCTAGTTGATTTAAAAGCAGCAGAGTGTACTGATTTGAATAGTGTACCCCCAAGTTCATGTCCACCCAGAGCCTGTGGATGTGACCTTATTTGGAAATCGGGTCTTGGCAGATGTCATCAAGTTAAAATGTGGTCATACTAGATTAGAATGGCCCCTACAGCCAATATGACTGGTATCCTTATAAGGAGAGGGACACTGGAATACAGAGATACACAGGGAGATGCTCCCATGAAGATGGAGGCAGAGACTGAAGTGATGTGTCTATAAGCCCAGGAGTGCCAAGGGTTTCCGGGAGCCACCAGAACCTAGAAGATGCAAGGAAGACTCCCCTCTAGAGTCTTTGGAGAGAGCACAGCCCTGCCAGCCCCTTATTTCGGACTTCTTTCCTCTAGATCAGCCAGACAATAACTGTCTGCTGATTGAAGCTACCTACTTTACGGTGCTGTTTATGGTAGGTCTAGGACACGAACACACGGGGTCACTACCCATCTTGTTTTAGCTGCTAAAAGGTGCTCTTTCTCCAGATGGTGATGTGATATAAGTAAGAACATTGAGGTTGACAGGAAAGGATGGCCTAAGTTAAGAAAAGGGGAGGAAGGAAAGAAGGGAGAGAGGGAGGGAGGAGGGAGAAAGGAGAGAAAGGGGAGGGGTGGAAGGGGGAGACAAAGAAGGCTTATGCGATGTCACAAATCTGATCTCAAGAGCTCTGTGAGTGCTGGGACCTTCTCAGTTTTATTAAGGGTTGTGTCTCCAGATCCTAGACCTGACCTGTGCAAAGAAGGACCCGCAGTAGATGCTAACTGCAGATTGACTTGTTGAATGAATAAATGAATATCACTGCCCCTTAAACTTCAATGGCTGCCTTTGGTCAACGAGTCCTGCAGGCTTGGATCCTGCCATCATCTTTGGCCCCTCCAATCTTCCTCATTTCTTGAAATTTGCCTGCTGCTTCCTGCCACAGGACCTTTGCACGTGGCATTTTCTCTGCCTGGAGCACTTTCCCTTTCTCTCTCTCTGTCTCTCTCTAACCCAGTTAACTCTTATCTGCTTACTCTGTGCCCAGGTTAAGTCAGAGTCTTTTGCTATGGGTTCATCTAGTTCCCCTCCAGAGTCTTCATGCCTCTGATGCCCTTCCCTGCTTCACCTACAGCACTCTGCTTGAGTGTCGTCTCCTCCAGGGGGCCTGCCCTGACTCATTTTCCCCTCCAGCGTCTCTTACATGCTCCCGCAGGACCAGAGCTTCCCCCATACAGGCATTAGTGACCATTCTTGTGTTTATCTGCCGTGTCAGCGCAGGGCTGATCTGGTGCAAAGTAGGACTCATGAAGTCTCTGTGGGAGGAGGAAGAAATCGACTCCTCTCAAGTCCTGGGCCTGTGACCACGTGACCCTCATAGGGCAATGGGAGGCAGCAAAGAGGTCAGGCTCGGAGTCAAATGAAATGTCCTGGCCTCAGCCTTCTTGTCTGTACAATGGGTGCTGGGAGGATTTGCTGAGATAAAGATCCCTAAATATAAAGATCTAGGACCTGCGTGTCTGCTGACTTTTTAATCTGCAGAGCTGCCCATAGTAGGTGCTCAAGCATTTGTTGAATGAATGAGTCAACATTTATAAAACATTGAGCCTGGCAATAGGTAATATTGTTATTATTATTAATGGGAAATGGAGGGCCAGAGAGGGGAAGTAACTTGCCTGAGCTTACACAGCACATCAGTGGTAGAGCTATTAATAGAAGTTGACATCAGCGTGAATCCAAAGCTGGGACTGCTGGACTTATCTACACCTTGCTCACTTCTAAAAAATGCTGAGTACCTACTATGCACCAGGCACTGAACTCGACATCTCAAGGGCACGGAGAGGAGTGAGACATAGCCCTTGGCCCTGATGAGCTTGGGGCCCAGTGCTGGCGATCAACGGATGAATGTGAGGTTAGGCCACAAGGGGAAGCTTGCCGAGTGCTGAGAGCTGGCACACAGGGGCCAGAGAACAGAGGGGGCTGGACGTCACTCAGCAAGGTCAGGGCAGGCTTCTGATGATCTGTGACCCCAGAGCGCAGTGTTTTCCAGAATCAGTTGACCTTGACCCAATGTCGGAAATATATTTTACACAAACACACTAAAAATATATTTCACACTAACACACACACACACAAAAAAGTTCCACCAGATTATTCTTACTTGTGTACTTACTTGGTTAGCTTAAGAGGTTTTTTTTTTTAATTGTGGTAAAACATATATAACATGAAATTCACTATTTTAATCATTTTTAAGTGTACAGTTCAATGGCATTAAGTATATTTACAATGTTGTGAAACGCTCACCAACTGTCCATTTCTAGAATTTTTCATCATCCCAAGTAGAAACTCTGTCCCCATTACATACTCATTCTCCATTGCTCCCACTCTCCCACCCCTAGTAATCTCTGTTCTACTTTCTGTTTACCAGTTTCCCTCTTCTAATTACCTCATGTAAGTGGAATCACACTATTTGTCCTTTTGCTTCTGGTTTATTTCACTTAGCGTAACGTTTTCAAGGTATATTCATGGTGAATAAACCCAGTCCGTCCCAGGATGCTGGGTACCAGAATTTCACTTCTTTTTTATGGCTAATATTCCATTGCATGTATATACTGCACTTCCTAAATGACTTATAATCTATGGATTGGTCACAGTCTGCAGCTTGAAAAACACTAAGTGGGGTTTTGCAGAGTGAATAGGAGTTTATTGGGCCCAGCCGGGCAAGTAACAGCGAGACCAGACAGAAAGGCCCCAGAGTGGGTGGGACTGAATAGGGAAAATGAGACATCAGGGGTCCTTATTGGCCAGCAACTATTGGGTTTGATTCTAATAAGTCTCAGAAATGCTGCTGTGGACCCCTAACCTTGCCACTTTCTCTTCATTAACACAGTGTCTTCATTCATTCATTCAGCAAATGTCCATCGAGTTCCTTCGTGTGTTCAGTTGCTCAGACACGTCTGGCTCTGCGATCCCATGGACTGGACCCCGCCAGGCTCCTCTGTCCTTGAAATTTTCCAGCGAAGAATACTGGAGCGAGTTGCCATTTCCTACTCCTGGGTATCTTTCCAACCCAGGGATCAAACCCGTGTCTCTTGCATTTCCTGCATTGGCAGGCAGGTTTTTTTTACCACTAGCTCCACCTGGGAAGCCTGAGTTCCTACATGGTACCTGCAAACAGCAAGGACCCAGAAGCAGGCAGAGCCCCTGCCTGCAGGATGCTCACTTTCAAGTGGGGTGGACAGAAATTCACCAAAGAGGTAATGTTACTTACTGGATGTCACACTATCTGATCCTCGCGCTGGGAGAGCATCCTGGGAGGGGCTGGGGAAGACTTCTCTAAGAATGTGGCAGCTGAGCAGAGGGATGGCCGTGCTTTCTCAACTGGGTGAAGGAGGCACAAGCAGGAAGGAGCCCTCCAGCCTTGGACACAGCATCCTCCAAGTCCCGGAAGGGGGAAAGCAAGAAGGACAGACTTGGGGCCAGCGTGGGCTCCACTAAGAGACTGGGGCGGGCACAGCGAGGTCTCCAGGGCCCGGGCACAGAAGGCATCATGAGAAATTTGATCTGTATTTCCAAACGGTGGGATCCACTGGCACGTTTTAAGGATATAGCTATCAGGGCAGCAGGAGGGTTGAGTGTGACTGAATTTGATCAGATTTAGATCCTGGATGTTGTCAGGGCTGGGGACAGGGGTGGGGCAGGACCAGGAAAGGGATGGAGCCAGGAGAGATTTCACCAGGACCTGGGGAGGGACAGGATGTGTGTGTGTGTGTGTGTGTGTGTGTGTGTGTGTGTGTGCGTGTGTGTGTATGTGTGCAGGTCCACACATTCTCCGAAGAGTGTCCACAGCAGGCAAGCACCTCCAGGCCTCCCTGCTTCCCGTGGAGACTCCCCGAGGGAGGAGAAGCTATGACCAATGACACGACTAGGTCCAGGGCCCAGTGTGCCGCCCCTCCCTCTCAGCCCCGCCTCTGGAGCACCCCTGGGCCTCGGCCCCGCCCCCCTCCCCTCCCCCTCCCCCTCCCCCTCCCCTTCCCCAGAGCCCCTGTCCTCTGCCGGCTCCCTGTGATTTAAGAGGCATTTTCCTTTTGGGTGATATAGATTCCCAAACGCCGCATCCATCTCCTGGGGCCTGGTGAAGCCCGCCTGTCTGAGTTATAGCACACTGCTTTCTGCATGTTCGAGGGGGGCGGAGGGCGGCGTTGCGCTCTTCTGCTTGCTGGGCCTGGAACATTTGAGCAAACATTCCTGGCTGCTTCGGACGTTACCAAACCCAGATGAGCTCACCCGAGCCAGAAGTGGGGGGTTGGGGGGGAGCTGGCGCCTGGAGCCCACCCGGAGCTCACCAGGTGGCCTGGTGGCCAATGTTGGAGGCTGCTGGGCCTCCACTGGCGAGGCGGTAGCTCCTGGGAGGGTGGGCCTCGCACAGCTGGGGCCTGGCCGGGAGAACCCGGGGTGGGTGGGGTAGAGGCGGTGTTGCCCCTCCTGGGAGCTGGCAGAGTGTTGGCATCGTGAGGACTCTGGATGCAAGCTGGGAGCCTCGGGACCTCACAGCTGGGGTCGGGGAGGGAGCAAACGTGTGACACAGGCACCTCATCAATCCTTTTCGGGCAGCCCTGTGGGAGCTGGGCCCGCCCTGCTGGGGCCTCGCTCCTGCGGCAGTAGCACTGCTGTTTATTGAGTGTTAACTATGTGCTAAGTGCTCTGTGCCGGGTGCCCCCTCCCAGACAACCCTTGGAAATATCATTCTCCCCATTGAACAGACGGGGAGACTGAGGCTATGAGTGGGAAAGCCTCTATAAGTGGCCGAGGCTGAGGCTGCTGTCCACATGTCACCCTTAGGCCACGCTGTCCTGCCCGTTACACGCAAAACAACGTTCAGAGGAAGATCCATTCATACTGTCACAGGCCAAACAGTGATAATTTGTCAACGTTTCCAAGGATCTGACTCAAATAAGTACATTACTCTCCCTGGGCTCTATCTCCTTGTCGGAGTGGAAAGGCATTCAAAGCCCAATAGCCCCGAGTGCACTTCACTGCCTGAGTGTAAGGGTGGGGGGGGGGTGGTTGCAGTGGGGGGAGTCTGAGCCTTCCCTGGGGAAATTCTGTATGACTCCTGCCAGGATGCTTTGGGCGAACTGCATGGGCTCTGGTTTCAGAGGAATTCTCCCCATGCTCTTTCCCAAAGTGATGTGCATTCCTCTACCTTCCCTTCTGCAAAATGGACACACGCCTAGGACCCCTGTTGCAGGGTTGCTGTGGCAATTGTTATAGGAGAAATAGCCTTATGACAAAGACTCAGATGGAGCCCAGCACACCGTGATGCCTCAAGGCTGGAGACTGCTTCCCGCTTTCTGTGAGTTGCTGGGGGAGGGTTGCATTTCCTACACAGGAGTTCACATTTCCAGAAAGTCCTATAGAGGATGCCTCTGTGTC